CCCCAAAACCCCAAAACCCCAAAACCCCAAAACCCCAAAACCCCTTAGAATTTAATACTTATTAAATTATTAATAAATACAATAGCTCACATTTTTCTAAAATGTTAAGTAATCAGATCAGGAAGAGGCATCCGTAAGTTTTATTCGTCACTCCTTACCTGAAATTGTCACTAAAATGCTATGACTATATTCCTTATTTAAAAATCCTTCTGATAGGCTTGGGCAGAGCAAGAAATTCCTTAAAATATTTAGCTTTAAATTAGAATAAAACTCTTAATATACCCAAAATATAGACAAAATTTGTTACTATTTTCGTGCTTTAGCTATAATCTCATTCCTGAAATGTCTACATGATAGGGCTAAACTGTTGTCTCCTTCTAGAGCCTAGAAATAACCAATGCTTTTAGGTGAGACAGCTCGACTAAGAATGACCAACTGGATATCAATAGTTTACCAGTCTCTCATATCCCTAATACAAGCTTGGAAAATAGCATCATTGTTCATGATTCTTTCCAAACTTTTGGGCAGAGTATTCACAAAGGAGAAGGCAGAGATGTCATAGAGAGGTAAGCATAAATTTGATGAAGATATCCTAGAATAAATAATAGACAGATTAATTGTTTTAGTACTGAAACTCAAGAGTTAAGTTGAGACTTCTAACTTATTACTCAAGTGTTCTAATAATAGTTCTAGAGGAAAGAAGTATCGAGGTAATATTGCACCATACAGTTTGTTTCTTCTTCAATCTTATAAAAGATACTTGAGAGTATTAACAATTTACAGAAGCAGAAAATAATTTAACAGAAAGGCAAGCTGACTTATCAACTACTGTTGTTAAAAACTCCAGACACACAAGTCTTCCTAAAGGTACCCTGAGGGTATAATTTGTAGTGAGAATTCCTAATAATGATATGAAAAGTGCTTCTGGAGATTCTATGCAAAATCTTTCGACAAACATTAGTCCAAAGTGCAAGTCCAAGATCGGATATGGAGTGTGGAATAAGGAGCTCCAAAGAGTCAAGTTTTCAAGTAATTTTGTGTATTATCCTTAGGGAAAAAGATTATGTCGCAACCTTTTGACAGTATTAATCATTCTTTAAATGATGGGTTGAAGGAAACATTCCAGACTGATAGGATACAGAGTCTTAAGTCTGTTTCTGGAACTGGGAATCTACAAGTCCAACAAAGAGTTGACTTCTCACAGAGTATGAGAAAGTCAAGTCTCAATACCAGCATCCCTCAGTATGTAGGAGAGCTTAAAGATGGAATGAAAGATGGATACGGTCTCTGGCTTGAGTCCAAAGATGATCCAAACAGTAACCAGTACAGGGGAGAATTCATGAATGACAAAAAGTGAGGCTATGGTGTCTTTAGGTGGTCATCAGGCAATTATTATAAAGGAAACTTTAAGAATGATGAGAGAAATGGGTATGGAGAGATGCACTGGAATGATGGAAGTGCTTATAAAGGACAATGGCAAAATGGAATTCAGCACGGTTTTGGAACAATGATTTTCTCAGATAAGACTTACATAAAAGGATACTTTAAAAATAATGTGTATCTTAATGCAAATACTATCAAGGATAAGCCACGGAAAATATCTTTATCAAGACCTCCTATTCAATCTCAATCGTATAACCTTCCAGTGATACCTCCAACATCATACAAGTCTCCTAAGAAGTATAACAATTTATCGTTAATGGAGGAAATTATTGAAAATAGTACTATTTCTCATGAAACACCGAAACGTAAATAAATCTGTAGCTGAGCTTAAGCGCAAACATAGAGGTTTTTATACAGATGCTTCAACAAATGGCGTCAGTAAGTGATTCACCTTTTGCCTGCTGCAAACTTTCATTTTATGTATTTAATCACCAATTAGGATCAGGAAGAAAACCTATCAGAAGAATCAAGAAATCCAAAAGAAATCTAAAGAATGTTATCATCAAAAGAACTGTAACCATTATAACTTATTCATAGGGAATGAGGAATGTGAAGAGTATTAGAAGGCCTTCTAAGAATTTAATCGTTGATCTTAATCTCTTCCCTGATCGTCCTATCGAAGCAGGAGATATCTGAGTGCATGGCAAGGAATTTAATTCCACATTCAAAAACAAAGCCCATAAGATCCTAATTAATGCCTAATACGATAAAAGTTGAAAGAGGTTTGCATAGTTCGGTAATGCCTCCATTAAATTTATTAAAATGGGGTTTTGGGGTTTTGGGGTTTTGGGG